CACTTGCCGCTGCTGCAGCAGCAGCAGCAGCAGCAGCGGGGTCTGGACTTGCTGCAGATCCACTTTGGCTGTTAACCACACTCAAAGAAGAAGAAGAAGTAGAAGGAGAAGAAGTAGACRTAGTCAGAGGGGCAAAACTGGACTGACACGCAGCATTGGAGGCAGGGTAGGTGAGTGAAGAGACGATTTGAGCCTGCTGCGAACTAGCAAATTGTTGCAGCTGATCGCGGTGCTGCTGCGCCATCTTGGCCATGTCTTCGCGCAACTCCTTGAGTTGCTTAAACACCTGTGCGAGTTGGCCAGTATGGTCCTCAGCAACCCGGACCCCTGCTAAGGCTCTGAGGAGGGGAACCGTTTTCTCTTCTACCTCCTCATCAGTCAGAGCGGACACGGTGCTAAGGACGGCCTCGTGAGCCTGCACCTTATYCCTTCTCTCTCTCTCTTTCTCTTCCTCCTCCCTCTTCAAGGCTTTCTCGTAGAAGAACTRATACTGCGGTTTTTCTGCGTCAGGGGCAGCGTCCATCTGCAGTTTCCAATCTGCTGCCGATGCCATGATGGAGGATGAGGGTGTCAGTAAGACTCTCAAGAGGGGTCCGTACTTCCTCTCAGCTTTGCGACGAACACTCCTCTTCCCTCTCCTCACTCCCTCAAGAGCAACACTCAATAACTTCTCTCTTCTCTCTCTCTCTCTCTCTCTCTCTCGTTTGCGACCGTGTAGACGCAGACATTAATGAACCCAATGAAAGAAACAGCTTGAAATCATTCATAAGAGAAGGTAGAACTCCTCGCCGGAGCGGCAATTCATTTGGATTGGAGAGCAGTCAAAACAGCAAAAAAAAGAAAAGATCAGAGAGATCTGATCCAGCCACACAGTCTGGACTGACTACRTATGGGGTCCTCCCAAGCCTAACCCTTGTGTCTCGCCACCATAAACATGCACTCAAACAACCTGGTCGGGTCTAGTGTTGACCCTACACGGCCCTGCCAGGTGGGAGCAGCTTCCCTTTACCTCGCTGCCCCACTTAACCCTAACTTCCAGCCCTAACCCTAAGTGGTAGCCCTTACCACTAGGGTTAGGGTTATGGCAGCCAAGTCAACTCTCGCCAACAAGTAGAATCCGCTCCGATACCAATGTTACGATCCTGGCCACTTTTGAAGTCCACAATCATCAGAAAGTACAATGTTGTCCAATTGTGAAAAGAAATGAATGAACTTGAGCCCAATGCCGTCCAATTGCAAAAGAAATGAAAGAACTTGAGAGGAGAGAGAGGGAAAGAAGAAGAAGAAGAATTAAGAAAGAAGAAAGAGATGATGTACTCCAGCATAGACCAAAGACAAAGCTCTTCTTCTTCGCTCAACAAC